CTGCGGCAGCCAGGGGCCAACGCCGGCCAGTCTGCGGCAGCCAGGGGCCAACGCCGGCCCGTCTGCGGCAGCCAGGGGCCAACGCCGGCCCGTCTGCGGCAGCCAGGGCAGACGCTGGCTGCTGATTTATTGAACGTTTTAATTGGTGTAATTGACGCTGACATGAGGAGTTTACAGCATATTTCATTAAGCAGCGGATGACGTTCTAGGTGGTGGAATACATTTGTAATCCCTCCTTTTGCAGCAATGGTTTTGTGGCACATCTTAAAAATTAGCTCCTTTTTTTCTACGTCCTTGGTGTGAAATCCAAACCACTGCCGTATATCGGCCAACTCAAACACCTGCTGTCACCATATTTAGTTTGCTGGTTGCTGTAGTGTGGGAGAAAATCCTGTTTGGATGAGGGATTTATGATGCATTCAAGATGTGTGGGAAAAATAAAACCCTAAGTGAAATAGATGCAGACAGCTTAATGTTGTAATATGACTTTTGACTCGGTGGATAGTCATTTTAACTCCATCGCAGCATCTTAAAACTCAAGATAGATCGAGTATATTCGATATATCAGCAACCTCTATGTCAAGCAGCTCTTTTATAGAGAAAAACATCAGAGGATGAAATACAGAGATACGGATAAACATGACTGGGTTCAACCAGGGGTGAGAAAAACAAATGAAGCTTCAGGTTGATATTTGGAAAAAAACAAGATCTTTTAGAAAAACATTATTTTCCTCATTAATAAAAACAAAACAGATTTTCATCTTAGATCACCTCATCAGAAAAAGGAACCAAATGTTTACATACTAATGGAGCCACACCTGTCCATTATTTTCCAATTAATATAAACCTTACATGAGATTATTTCTGAGGATATTTTATTTGTGTGGGATTGTTGTTGTCGTTTTACATGTTTGTGTTTATAATAGACATTTTTTCTCTTTCTGAGAGACCAAGAACTGCAGGATCAGGGATATTTTTGTTTGTCAGCTGCATGTTTCCCTATTTTTCACAGGGAGATGAAAAAATAAAAACCCTTTATAAATAACCTCACATTTTGGTCAATAAAAATACCTTCAAAATGAATAATCTAAAAAGATACTTTTAGTAAGTTAACATTAAAAAAGCAAAACATTTTTTATATAAAAGAAACAAATGATTTTGCTCATTTTAAATAAACTGCAAATAGAAATTATAAAAAATGTATGAATTAAAATACATGAATAAATGAATAAAAATTTATATTTTTGCTGCAAGAAGGTATTTATTTCAGCAAATGTTTTTGAGTCTGTACCTTTACTCTTGGTAATAATTCAATTATAAATTTCATTATTGTTACAATTATCGTTTGGTGAAGTTTGAATATTTTCAGGTTTGTTTTTGAGTTTTAAAGGAAAAGTCGCTCATATTCAGAATCCAAACTTCTGAAAGTTCTTTAAATCTGAAATGATTCCATCCTGTTTAATAAATGATCAGTGTTTTTAATTCAGAGTAATTTTCATGTGAATGTGCTTTACTGGAGGCATCCATGTTTGTCAAAGAACACTACTGCCACCTACTGGTTAGTGACATTGTCACGGTGCGGTATCGGCTGTTGATCAAGTCCCAGTGCTGTATCTGGTGTTTGTCACAACGCGCTATTATCCAAGTCATCTTGAAAACATTCTTCTTCCAAATGTTGGCTACATATTACGGGTTTTTTCTCTGGCCAGAAGTTCGATGGCAAATCCTCCCTCTTCAAGTTGGCGATCCAACGACCAACCCGTCCGTGGAGGATCAGGAATCAGAAAGGTGGAATAACTCTTTTTTTTCCACTTTTACCCGATGTATTCCAGCTTCCAGCTGCCATGCACGTGGGCATTGTCAGTTTCACTATAGCTCTGGTGAATTTCAATGGTGAAGTCCTCTGGAAATCTTCAATAATTGACTCCCGGACTCAGTGATTGCCAAAATTTTTAGTTTTTTGTTTTACTGATTAACACTAAATGCATTCAAAATCGTCAACGTGTTAGTTTTAGGTATAACTAAAATCCATTGATTATTCTTTGCTGATTGAGCTTTTCCTTTCAACAATCGATTAATAAGAATTTGGTTTTAACATCTTTACAGTCCCGAGTTCCAAATATGGTTAAACTCTTTTTTTATTTTCTATATAGAAATTTAAAAACAATAACTGCCTAAGAGTTGAAAGATTATTATTCCTATTTTAAAGTGTAGTTCAAATCTAAGCACTCCAGATTTTTTTTTTTATGGATTATCTACTAATTCGGACTTGACTTAAGGACGTACTGATCAAATAAAAACTCTTTCAAGATAAACCAATAGAAATACAATAAAGTTTGGTGTTTTAATGCTGTTGTAAATCTAGCAGGTTGATTTCTAACGAGTCAAACTGACAACTATAAAAAGGAACTCTGTCAAGGTTAGAGGACTGCGACTAATCACAACTAAAAGTCCACCTTAAATTAAATTTACAACAGTCAAATTTAAATAAATATTTTTAAAACGCAATAAAATAGCACGCATCCCAGCCCGTGCAGGGCTGTGATTTTTTTTTAATACTGTTTTAATTTAATCTTTTGAGGTTGCGTTAAAACTGCGCGTCAGGAAAGAAGCTATGGCGCATTAGCAGCTAACGGCTAAAACAAACTCAAACTACAATCCGAGGACTGGACACTCCAACCGGGAGCCACAAAACATATTTATTCAAATATGTAGAAATTCATAAAATCCAGATTTAGTGTTTTATAGCAAAGAGTTTGGCCTTCGTATGGATTTGACTCTTTCAAGCTTTACAAATCCACAACAGTTAGCCGTTAGCTCCGAGCTAACGTGCCAACCGCGGGGCTTTCAGCCGACAGGGAGCTTTTCAAAGTCCGATAAACATACCTGAAATCCTGCGTTACTTTACGTTCAATTATCTTCGTTCGATGAATCGACGATTTTCTTCTAAATTAGCTGGAGATATCCTGAAATATTTTTTTCTCTATTGTGTTTCTTCTTCCTTTAAACCAACATGGTCGCATCCTCTTCCTCGATGAATCGCTACAGCCGATTATCAAGCATCTGGGATCCCGCTGCTGCCACCTACCGTCAGAAAGGCAGACAGCAGCAAAATGGAGGCAATAATCCCAAATCTGGATCTTTTTACTCTACAGCCGTGTACAAGATACA